AGGGATTCATCTAAAATTTGTAGGACAGTAGATCTTGAGGACCAGGGTTGGAGACCACTGATTTAGAGTGACCTACGATGATGGCAGAAAGAAAGCTGGGGATAAAAGTGCAACAGTGTGCAAGCATTGTGCAACACGTTTTGTTTATGCTAACAGCAACACGACCAACATGTCATGCTAACCCTGAAATCCCTCATACTCCGTCAGCGCTCCGCCCCGCTGCGCTCCAGACCGGCTGCTCAAAGCAAAGCCTACAGCCTCCACTGTGGAGATCGTAGAGAGCATGCGCCAGATGATTAAATTCAAAGCAGCAAAACATGCGGAAATGATCCAGGGTTTCTGCGGATCTTTAAAAATAATTACAATTCATTAACTTTTTGGATTTTTTCATTAATTTCATTCATTATTATGGGATTTCGGGGTAACAATCAACGTATACCGAACCGAAAACCGTGACCAGAAACCGTGAATCGAACCGAACCGTGAATTTTTGTGAACCGTTCCACCCCTAGTAGGAACATAGACCAACCAGTAAATTCAGAGCCTTTTTGCTCAGCTCTCTCTTCTCCGAGACCAGTGGATTGCCCACGTTACAGCAGCGGCCTTACAGATCTGACTATTAATCTTCCGCTACATTCTTGCCTTACTTGTTTACAGGACCCCAAGAAACTTAAAACCCTGGAGGGTGCAGGGAGGATACGACATAGGAACCATAACATAGCCTGTGGGATCATCCGGGCACTGAAACCCCTGCACCATATTAAGGTGACATTTTCCTCAGTTGAATAAATCCCTTTACAAATGTTGACCTTCTGAAATTAGGTGTTTATCTCAATAACTTATCACTACTTTACGGATACTCCCCTTGTGTATGTCAAAAATCTTTGTTTCTTTCTGCTCTTTACCTTTTTCCTACTAATTCACTTTTAAATTTCAATCCAGTATACTTTTATTGCCCCCATGCGGAAACTTATTTGGGGCAAATGAAAGGGCCATAAAGTATATTTGGTAAAAAGCCACACAGATGTTAAACATAAAATTCTGACCTTAAAAATTGACACTACAAGCCTTGCTGATAGTTTTTCTAAAATTTCTAAGGTTTTTCTTTTTATACTCTTTATGGTTTACCCTCTGGTGTGATGGCCTTGTGTAGCAGCCATGTTTGTGTGGTAAAAGTGACAGTGTCAGTGACTTTGCAATGGATGTGCCAGATGCTCAGTCAAGGAGTGTAATCATGGACTAACAGGAAGGCTTTGTGCTTATTTCTGCAAAGCTTTGACACAGAACGTCGTCCTCCTGCTACATGAACCCCAAACAAACATTAAAGCTTTTTTTTTTAAAAAAAAAAATGTTAATTTTTTTTATTTTTAAACAACTTTGGATATACTTGTAAATTATTCAGTAGTATTAAATTTCAAATGTTACCTATAAAACACCAGAAACATCAGGAATTTCATAAAAAGAGGAGTGCTGCTTTGCAGTTTAGAGAAATGTTGGTATAAGTTCATCCAATAAAATCAGATTTTAAGTCGATAAAGACTCTGAGACCTGATATGATTTACTAAATAAGAGCAAGAGGTTCACAGCCTCATGTGTGGCTGCTTGTGACCCTGTGCCAATGTTAATGACAGCTCCTTTCACACATCAGACGTGCAAACACCGCCAACAAGGCAGTGACTGTTAATTTTTTCAGCTTCCGTCCCTTCTCAGACAAAATTGGGCAACACAAAACTTTAGATTTTATTTCTTTACATACTGTTTATGCAGCAAATGGTTGGAAATTGTGTTTATTTGCACTGATTAGATTGAATGATGCACCAGGAAAGCATTGAAGAAACAACAGTAGTGCCCTCACCCAGTTTCATTCAAGTTAAGTTTGATGAGTTGAAAAGTGACATTATGTTGTTTTTAATGTGAGCTTGGGAGGAGACTGACTAACAGTTTTAGTCACAGGTTTTAAATTCACTTACTGTTAAAAGGAATGTGCCATAAATAGGGATGCACGATATAATCGGCCCCCTATCGGTATCGGCCTTAAAGCTGAATATCGGACATCGGCCACCCCACCGATATTTAACCCGATATTTGATCAGCTTCTGAGTTTCTAAAGTCTAAAAAAAAATAAAAAATACTTCTTCTTCTTCCTCAAAAACTTCTTTTTTACTGACTTAAA